CAGCTGACCTTCCTAAAACAAAGACCTCTAGATAGGCTGACTAAATTCACCAGATGGACAAGTACTGGGGAACGGCTGGGGGTGCCGACACCACAGCAGACAGTAGCAGGGAAGACAATAAAAGGGCTCCAGTCGGGAGTGGGGGAGGCTGTGGGAGGGTGCCATCTGGGATATGACAAATATTCAATATTCAATATTGTATAACTGTATTAGTTCAACTGTGAACCTAAAAATTTTATAGCCACTTTTGAAAGAGATATATATTTGCTCTGGAAATTGTTATTGAGTATGTAAAAGCTGTAATGAAATGCTTTTTCTAAAAAATAAAAAAAATTTTTTTAAATGTATTTTTTTAAAGGCAAGTAAGAGACATAGGGGATGGGAGTAGGGAGGGAGGTGGAGGGGGAAGAGGAGGGAGAAGAAAGGAGAGCAGGGAAGCCCAGGGCTTTGTTCAAGCAAGGCAAACTCTACCAAATGAGGTACATCCCCAGACCCGTCGCATTCTGTTCATTACAAGTAAGTCAACAAACCCACCCAGCTTGAAGGAGAATGGAATTTGACTGTGTCTTGCTATGGGAATGGTAAGATCCCAGAAGAGCTTATGGGATAAGACATATTATGGCAGTTATGCTTAGGGTTTTCTGTTTGTTTGTTTGTTCTTTTGAGAACGGGTCTCTTGAATCCAGGCTGGCTTCAAAGTAGATTTGTAGCCAAGAATGACCTTGAACTTTCTGATCCTTCTGTCTCCACCTTCCAAGTGCTGAGATCACAGGGGTGTGCCATCGTGCCTGGTTTATAGGGTGCTGGGGCTCAAAGCCAGGGAGGGCTATGTTAGATAAGGTACTCTATCACTTGAGCTACGTCTCTGGCCCTTGGCAGCCATGTTTGGATAAAATGATCTATGGTGGATAAATGTGAAAGAAAAGCAAGCAACAGTTCATATCAGGCCTTGTGACGCACACCAATGAGTTTAGTCTTTTGTTTACTCTGCGGTGCTGGGTCTGACACCCTGGGTCTCCTACATGCAAGTGCCCAACCACTGAGCTACATTCCCCAGCCCATGAGTATAGTCTTGAGAAGGACTGTCATGAGGAGCCAGGCCTGGTAGCTTATGCCTATAATCCTAGCTATTCAAGACGCTAAAGCAGCAGAATTGTGAGTTCAAGGCCTGCCTGGTTACACTATAGTATGAGTTCCAGGCCATCCTGGGCAATTTAATGAAACTTTGTATCAAAATAAAAAGTTAAAAAAAAATCCAAACATCAGTTGGCTTATGACTGTAATCTCAGCATTTGGAAGGCTGAAGCAGGAATATTATCACAAGTTCAAAGCCAGCCAGGGCTACATAGTGATTTCCAGGCTAGCCCAGGCTATACAGTGAGACTCTAAGAAAAAAGAATTATGAAAGACCACTGAAGAGTTTGTGTTTTCTTTTTGTACTTTTATTTTTCCTGGTTTTGTTATCACTAGAAAATTTTAAGTAAGACAGTGATCGATTGTCTTTTTTATTTTAATTTTCTGGAGATGGGTCTTAAGATTTATTTTATCTGTTTGAGTGTTTACCAACATATGTGCAGTGCCCATGGAGGCCAGAAGAGGGCATCAGATTCCCTGGAACTGGAGTTATAGGAAGTGAGCTGCCTGATGTGAGTGCAGTGTTCTTAACTGCCGAACCACCTCTCCAGCCCCTGGACATGGGTCTTGCTGTGTTGACCAGGCTGGCACAATTGATCTTTCTGCCTCAGCCTTGCAAGTAGTGAGGTCTGACCTGGCACTCACCACTACACTGGAGTTAAAACTGTCTTCAAAAGTTCATTCTAGGGGCTGGAGAGATGGTCCAGCAGTTAAGAGCACTTGAGACCTCTTCTGGCCTCTGAGGGCACCAGGTATGCATGTGGTGCACATATATACACACAGAAACACTCATACACAAAAAATAAATCTCTATTTTAAATAATTAATTAATGTGCATGAGTGCCTATAGGTATGTAAGTGTACCCATGTAGTGTAATGTCTGTGGAGGTCAGGAGAGGGTATTGGATCCCATGGAACTGGAGTTATGAACAGTTAGCCTTCATGTGTGTGCTGGGAACCAAACCCGGGTCCTCTGCAAGAGCAGTCAGTGCTCTTAACTGCTGAGCCATCTCTCCAGCCCCTAAATCTTATCTTGAAAGCTCATTCTAAAAGGTGTGTGATGGCACTTGGAAGGTGGAGGCATGAGGATCAGAAGTTCAAGGGCACCCTTCACTACATCTTTCACTACTTACTGAGTTTGAAGCCAGCCTGGGCCACATGAGAGTCAGTGAGACTCAAAAAAAAAAAAAAAAAAAATTCATTCTACAAATTCAAGACCAGTTTGAGATAAATGAGATCCAGTCTAAACAAAACACACCAACCAAGCAAAAACATGAAGAAATTCTTTGTAGCTACTGTATGAATAAAGTATTTGTAGGGTTGGACCTAGTGGTGCAGGCCTGTGATCCCAGCACTTGGGAGGTGGATACAAGAGGTTCAGGAGTTCAAGGTCATGGGAATTCAAAAGATAAATAAATAAAAATAAATAAATAAATAAATAAATAAATAAATCTTAGCCCGCACAAGGGTGGAGGATATATATCAATGTCAGTCCAAGGACAAAGAATCTCTCTACTCGCCCCTGCCCAGTGCAATCTGCCCAGTGCAATCAAACAGATTCAAACAGATCGAAACACACATGCGCACAACTAGATCCACCAAAGGCAACATCTTGCTTTCTCACGCGCAGAGTGCGGCGGTCGCCATGGAGACGCGTCCTCCATCTGGGCGGTGAGCTCCCAGAGCGCGCTGGACGCGGGTCCTCCACGGCGATCCCAGGCGCAGGTCGCGGTCCCGCCAGCGGATGGCAGGCCGCGGTGGGGCCCAGGCGGAGTACGGAGAAGAGGGCGAAGAGGAGGAGGAGGAGGAAGAGGAGGAGGCTCGGGAAGCTGGCGCTGAGGGCCCGTCGGGGTCCAAGCTGCCCCCCATCGTGGGCACCGTTTCAGAGCTGGCCAAATGGAAGGTGAAGAAGAAAAAGAAGAAGAAGACCAAGGGGTCGGGCAACGGCCACGGTAAGAGGAACAGCTGGCACGGCTGTTCAGCTCTTGGATCCGAAATTACTCCCACAGACTCCTCTATGCCTGGAGACTATGGCAGACCAGAAACAGACAGCAAGCCCCGACAGTAGCCCTTGTTCCCCTAACTGGCCACCGAGGGCGTCCCAAGGATGCCCAGCCCTACCCATAAAGACCATGTGCCCGCCAGCACAGAGACCCTTTAGTCTCGACAGAAGTCCCAACTATACTGTCTACCAAAACTACATCCAGACCATGCACTCTGTGCTAATAATAATCCTCCATGTCTAAAGAGTCCCCCATCCCACACAGAGACCCTCACAGATACCCACCCAAGAGCCTCAGGCCCCTCGGAGTTATCTTTTTATACACACCTCCTCTCAACTTCCTAGCCCCCTCAACCAACAGACATTCAAGTTCCTAGAGTCCCAGAGACTAGGCCAGACTGGAAGACACTAACTGATACTCACTCCCCCACAGGAATAGACTCCTGCTTCCTGGCTGTCCCCACTCCTTTATGCATTAAACGACACCTGGCTGCTGGACACTGTGCAGGACACTCTCACATCAGTCCCTGCCCCATCCTCCTGTAATCTTCAACACACTTCACAACACCTCATAGCAATATGATACCACCCAATGACACTAAAGCAGTGTGGCCCCATCATTCAGTCTCAATATACATGCAGATTCTGGTACATACATACATAAATTTACATCACTGAAATCTCATACCTACACAGCACAGAAATTCCACAGGTGCATAGATACACCCTGTCCTAGTTTGTTTCTTCATTGCTGTGACAAAATACTCTGACCAATACCAACTTGGGGAGGAAAGGGTTTATTCAGCTTATATCTCCCATTCAGGGTCCATTTTACTAGCCTAGTGTGTCAAGGAATTTAACATACGCTGCCATGACCATGTACATGTGAAGCAAAACATCCAAAGAACAGGCGAGCCGTGGTGTTTCTTCCCACCAATATGCACATTTCCTTAGAGCTGTTCTAGTTTGTTTCTCCATTGCTGTGCCAAAACACTCTGACCACTACCAACATGGGGAGGAAAGGGTTTGTTTGTCATACATCTCCCAGGTCACAGTTCATCAGGGAGCCCAAGGCAGGAACTACTCAGGGCAGGAACCTGGAGGCAGGAGCTGGAGCACAGGCCATGGAGGAACACTGCTTACTGGCTTGATCTTCTGGGATCCCACAGTGGGCTGGGCCCTCCCACATCACTCAACAATCAAGATGTTCCACAGACATGGCCACAGGCCAGTCTTATGGAAGAAGTTACCCAATTGAGGCTCCCTCAACCCAGGTGTCTCAAGTTGACACTAAAGCTATCCAGCACACCCCCAAACATCATACTCAAAGGTACTAGACACTCAGATGTACACACACACACACACACACCCCTCCCAGGACCTACCCCCCCCCAAGCTCTTCTCATAGAACCCCCAGATATCAGCCAAGACACTGAGTACCCACTCTGAGGAAGTAACACAGAGTGATCCTGCCTATGAGTGCTGGATTCCATTGTCACCTGTGTGCCTTTGGCCATCAGGGAAGTGGCCCTGACCTCCAGTGTGGCTAGTCCTGGCTCCCAAGGGCAAAGCTGGCAGCCAAGGAGCAGCTGTCTCCCCACATCCGTGTTGTGGAAGGGAGCGATGGGAAGGTTGAGATTACTTCAGGTAGACTAGTAGAAAAAAGGCAAAGAGGGGGCAGTCAGTTCTGAAGTGTAGGCAGTGAGCCCTCTGTATACCAGCAAAGCAAAAGCAAGGAGCTTATTTTGTCTTTTTAGTGCAGCTTTTGGCTGTAGAAATTACAGCTGTATGTACTTCATATCGTCAGGAGGGGATGCCAGATAGTTTTCAGGGACTAGGGAGGAAGGAAATATCAAGACAGAATTTTTTTTGTTTTTTGCCTCCTCCCCCTCCCCCACTTTTCCTGAGAAGGGCATATATTTTTTTTATTTCTTATTTTATTTTAAAAAATATTTTATGATTTCTTTTATGTGTATGATTGTGTTGTCTACATGTAAGTGAGTGCACCTGTGTCATGCAATGCCACGGAGGTCAGAAGAGGGTTTTGGATTCCCCTGGAACTGGAGTTAAGGATGGTTATTAGCTGCCATGTGGGTGCTGGGAATCGAACCTGGGTCCTCTGCAAGAGCAGTCAGTGCTCTTAACCACGACTGAGCCATCTCTCCAGGCCCATTTCTTTAAAAAAAAAAAAAAAAGGCCGGGCGTGGTGGTGCACACCTTTAATCCCAGCAGAGGCAGGCGGATCTCTGTGAGTTCAAGGACAGCCTGGCCTACAAAATGCGTTCTAGGACAGCTTGGGCTCAAAAAGACCAAAAAAAAAGGAAAGATGAGCTGATGGAAGAATCACAATTTGTAGCATTTAATATGCAATTCTGCAATGCTGTTAATGTGAAGAAAAAGGGAAAGAGAGAGGGAGGGAAGGAGGAAAGAAGGGAGGGAGAAGGGAGGGAGGAAGGGAGGGAGGGAAAGGAAGGGAGAGCACAAAGCCACATATAAGTACTTTCTAGGCTGGGGATGTGGCTCAGTTGGTAGAGTGCTTGCCTAACATGCAGGAAGACCTGGGTTTAATCACCAGCATAGCATAAATCAGGGGTGGTGGTGGCACATGCTTATAATTCTGTCACTTGGGAGGTAGAATCAGGCAGATCAGAAGTTCAGGGTCATCCTAGGCTACACATGGAATTTGAAGCTAGTCTAGGCTATATGAGACCTTGTTTCCAAAATTTTAAAAAGTATTTCCTGGGTCAGTACTCTTGATTTCATGTCAGATGTAGGAAGCTTTTTTTCTTAAAATCTGTTTCTCCCTTCATGAAGTGTTTAGACTTGTATAGAGTCACAGACCAGAAAAGGACCTTGGTGAGGCACTTGGTGAGACACTAGGAGTCAGATGGGCCTTCGGATCTGGCTTTGCCATTGCCTAGGTGACACTGACAGGTTATTGAAGCTCTTGGGGGCCTCTTGGTTCTTGGAGTGGGGTGTAGCTCAGTGGCAGCACACGTGCTTAGCCTAGGGTTCAATCCATAGCACCCCACAAAAAGAAGAAGGTGCCCCTTGCCCCTAAATGCCTTAACCCAAAGCCTCCAGGCAGTGGCCTGGTCCTAGGTTCCTGCATCAGCTATCCCAACCCTGGGAAAAGGGGTCCTAACCCCTTTCCATCTTTGGTGATTTGGGCATCACAGGCACAAACACATCTCATCTGATTAGCAGATAAGCATCACAGTCGAAGTCGGAAGAGTCAGCAGCTTTCTTCATCTTTCCATGACATCTTAAATCACCACAAAGACCGTGGCCGGAGAGCAGAGCCCAGATATGACAAAGAGGAAAACAGGAACACCCTTCCTTATTCAACCAGCAAGAGTCACCCCTACTTTGCCGAAATAGAAGAGAACCTTTCGAAACAGATCAACGAGAGCCTGCGTTGGGATGGGGTTCTCACCGACCCAGAGGCAGAAAAAGAAAGGATTCGCATCTACAAGCTGAACCGGAGGAAGCGGTACCGGCTCCTGGCACTCAAGGGCTTCCACCCTGACTCGGCTGAGAAGAGCCCCGAGAACCTGCCCTACCTTTCAGACAAAGACTGTGGCCCCAGCAAGCAGCCCAGCTCCAAGGGCCACCACACGCTTCACTTCTTTGAGGACGCAAAACTCCTGCACCCGGAATTAGCCAGCAGTGTAGCAGACTGACATCTGCACGCCTCATCCTTGACACACGTTTATGTGTTTAAAAAGAGTCACAATAAAAGGAAATCAGACCAGTACCCGAAGAAGAACGATGCTTGTCAGGTGGGGGAGGCCAGCCTCTCCTTCACCAAGATGCCCCCAGGAGCCCAGAACCACCTTCCTTAAGAAAGGCAGCCCATGGAATCCGAGAGACCCCTCAGCGGTTAAGAGTTCTGGTTGTTCCTCCAGAGGACCCAGTTTTGATTCCCAGCACCCACATGGCAGCTAATAACCATCTGTAACTCCAGTTCCAGGAGATCTGATGCCCTCTACTGACCTCTGCAGGCATTGCACGCATGTGTGCACCTCCATACATGCAAGCAAAACACTGGAACACATAAAACAAAAACAATTTTTTGAGGGAGCTCTTTTGTGAAAAAATGTAGTGCTGTGTGTCAGAATTGCCTTTTTCTTAAGCTAGCTGTCATTTCTTTGTTATCTAGTTTCTTGACACTGTTTGATCTCTATAAGCTGCCCCTTTTAAAAAGAAAAAGAGAGAATGTGTGGGCTTCCTGGATAAGATTCACATAGTCTATGTATCAGTAGGGAAATGTATCCAGGAAGATAACTTCCTGGATAAGATTCACATAGTCTATGTATCAGTAGGGAAATGTAGCCCAGGCCAGCCTCAAAATCCTAATCCTCCTGCCTCAACCTCCCAAGGCTGGATTTACAAGTGTGCACCACTATGCCCAGCTAAGATATTTTTCTTTTCTTTTTTAAAAAAAAAATATTTTATGTATATGAGTGTTTTGCCTGCATGAATGTACGTGTGCCAAATGTATGCAGTGTCCACAGAGGCCAGAAAAGGGCATTGGATCCCCTGGAACTGGAGTTACAGACAGCGGTAAGTTGCCATGTGGGTTCTGGGAACCAACCTGGGTCCTCTGCAAGAGCAGCAAGTGCTCTTAAGTGCCGAGTCCCCTTCCTTTAGTTAAATACACTACTTGCTCTTATGCGGCATTTAAAATCTGAGTTCTAGAACTGGGAGATTGTTATGGGGGGGGGGTCCCTGAAGGAATGTTGCTTCTTTTATAGCCTTTTACTTTCAGTTTTTTCTTTTTGTGGTATTGGAGGTTGTACCTCAGGCCTGGTGCATGCTGGACAAACACTCTGCCACTGAGCTAACATCCCTAGATAAAATTTCTATGGCTATATTTTTTTAAAAATGTCATTTCTTCAACACAGGGGACAGTGACAGGGATGGCAGAGTATGGAGCCTCTAGTGGGAGAGGAAGGCTGTCTATCTGACGAGTTTGTATTCATGCTCAGAT